AATATTAATACAAATTTAAAAAAATATAACAAAAATTTCAAAAATTATAAATATATATAGTTCTAGCTATAATTTTCTCAACAACTACTAATTCAAATTGAATAAAATTTTTATTATAAATAGTTATAATATAGTGTTATAACTTATTTAAATTTTAGCCAATTTGAATTGGTGGTTCTTGAGAAATTAATAAAAAATTATATATAATTTAATTAAAATAATTGTCTATAGTTTTTAAGCAAATTTTCAAGAACTACTAATCCAAATTGTATAAAATTTAATATGTTGTAGACAAATATTATATATATTTGCAAAAAAAATTTTATCCAATTTATTGTTTAAAAATTTATAGCCAGAAGTTGTTAAATTTTATATATTTTAAATATTATAAAAGATGAAATTTAATTGAGTCAATAGCCCTATTACTAGAGAGAAGAGGGGTATGATCTATATAAACTCTAATTACATAATTTACTACACTTCCCTTAGAGGGAGTTGACTATATTTATACAAAAATTTTTTTTATACTAAAAGTATAAAAATATAATTTACAAAAGATACAAATACTGTATAAGTTTTTATTATAATAGAGTAAAACTTGTATTAAATTTTTAAAATTAACAATTTGAAATACTGCTACAGTACAAAACAGCTAAAGATATCTACTATATATATATAAAGTATAAAAATGCTTATAACTTAGAAGCAAATAACTTTAGAAAAAACTTGTCTTATAAATTTGTTGCTTTTAGTTCAAACTACAACTTTATTAAAATAGATTTTTATTTTCATTATAAAATTAAAAAGTTTTTAGAGTTTAAAATTTATATATATTCAAAATTTTGGCATTTAATATATAAAAAAAAATGGTTATATATATTTTCAACCAATTAGAATTCATTGCACAAAAGCTAGCCAACTATATTTAATTATGCATCCTACAATGGAAATGAAAATGAAGTGAAAAATTTGTAAAATTTTTGTTGATAATTTGGAAGCACCTTTTAATGGTGAATAAATATTTTATATGTAATACGCATTTAGGGTTTAACTTCTAAATAAATATAAATTTAGCTGATATATAGTTACATATAATAAATTTAATAAACTATATATTTTATCACAATGCAATACAGTATATATCTTTACTCTCTAAATCTATTTAAGTTTATTTTTAAAATATACGTATAAGGTTAAATTGGGTTCGATAAGGCGATAAAAAAACTAAAGAATTTTTTTTTAAATAAAAAGGACGATTTTATAAAATTCTAAGAAGCGATAAATAAATATTTAAGTGCTGTAAGTAAATATTTAAGTTTGACGAACTTAACTCCTGAAAATTGTAATATTATGTATTGAATCAAATATGCGATTAGTGTTCTTGAAAGTCCTACAATAGGTTTTTCTTGGTAGTGCTCATGTGAATTAGTACGTACTATCAATTTTTCCATAGCGACATCTTAAATATTTATTTACTGGCGGCTCATTTAAATAAAATCACGACTGATGAGTAGGAGTAGTAACGGTAACAAATAAAGATGCAAATAGTTTGATATCAATCAATTTATAATAAAACTAATTATCAATAGAGCCAATTGGTAATTTATAATATTTTTGGCCAAATCGGCCAAAAAATTTTATTGCCGTTTTTAGCCATTGGCCGGCCAAGTGGCCAGGTGACAATTAGGGTTGTTAATGGAGTAGCGTACTCCAGAGCAGCTCTGGAGTGAGCCCAACCCAAGTTGGAGCGAGTTAAAGATATGCTGGAGCGAAACTGGAGCAACTTTAAGCAAATCTGGAGCAGCTCCGGAGTGAGCCCAACCCAAGTTGGAGTGGGTTGAAGAATTGTTCAACCCAATCCATTAACAACCCTAGTGACAACACTGATTAAATAGTTCAAATAGCAACATATAAAAAAACGTAAGGATTTTTTTCCCGAATTTGTTCAAGTAGATAAAAAAGAGTATATGTGGCAAATGTTTTGAAAATCTTTATCCGGGAACTTAATAGAAAAAAGAAAATTTGGATTGCTATTTACAGAGGTACAGGTTATTAGAAATAGGGATCAAAATTAAAAGAGTGTTAATGACATATTAGATATCGACTTTTGTTTCGGATTGCAGCATAAATTATGATTTGCGGTATAAATTATGGCTTGCAGCTTTATTTCTACCGAAAATCGGTGCCTAAATATTTTCAACACAGCCGCAACTATTTTTTACGGTATGTATAACTACGTAAACGAGCTCTTAAAACCGTGATGAGATTGATCCTAGGTGATTAATATGAGATTTAATCATTTGATCATTTGCAAAAGCTAAAAGTAAAAAAAAAATTTGAAACCCCAGCTATGTACGTATACTGTAACTATTTTACTTTTTGTTAAAGTAAAGACATTCTTATTTGCATTTAGAAGCAGTCTTGAACCCGGACCATCAGCAAGACAAGAAGATACAGTATTATCATTATTTTTTTATATATTGACTAATTTACTGTATGTGAGTAAATGAATATATAGTTTAGTAATGCCAATTTGTAATGCCGTGTTTAATCACGTGCGTAAGTATTATATTAGGTATAACTATAATAGAATAGCGCCAATTATGAATATCGATATCGATATGGCAAAATTTAATATAAAAGCGCGATTGCATACAATAATACAGTATATAATAACAATAGAAATTTCGTGTGATCGAACATCTGAGTAACTTAAATTAATGATCACATGACTTTATACACACAATTAAATTGATTGGTAGAATTCAAAATTCTATGAATGGTCCTGCCTCTGACAAGAATCTCTAATCATTAAAAAAGAAACAATTATCTTTACCTGTCACTCATTTTACAAACCAGAAATGCCAAGGGGGACTCGTTCTAAAAAAGTTGTAACAATTTCCGAATCGGAACACTATTCTGACAGCACTGCTACTGATGACGAGAGCACTCCTGTGCATCAAGTCCAAGTAGTAATTACTAATAAGCCGAATACAAAGACATTGAGAAACGTTACTTTTGAAAGTAGTGAATCGGAAAATGATAGTGTTTCAAAGGTACAAGTACATCTATGTTAAGATAACTCATATAAAATGGTGCTTCATTAAAATATCGATACCTAGGGCGGAAAAGATACATATCAACCAACTTCTAGTGAAGAGGAAAGTGAAGGGCTATCTGACTCATCAGAATATTCGAATTATTCAAATAAAAGAAATAAAAGAAAGTTGCCACGACGTCATGTGACATCTAAAAAAATTAATTACAGCGAAGAAAAGTATTATAAAAAAGTACATAAGGTGTTCGATGATTTTCATGAGGTAATATCATCAGAAGAAGAACTCCCACCAACAAAACAAAGAAAAGTTAATGATGATTCATCACGGCCAAAGAGGCGGCCCAAACGAAAATCTGCAAAGAAATTGATTGATTATGACGAAAAGGGCTATTATAAAAAATTTGAGACTGCCCTTAACGCCAGGCTCCATTGAAGTAACTGCTAAAAACTAATTATTATATTATACATATTATAATTCTAAGTATATATTCTAAAATTTCAGTTAACCGCCTAAGATGCTAATTTGCGTTAAAAACATATACTAATCCGAATAGAACTAGCATAATATATATCTCCAAATTATACATAAGGGTTGAGGTTTGTGTTAATTTTAATTATTTAATATGGCTTAAATTATAAATAATTATTATTAATTGACTATAGTTTAAGCTGTCTTATATAATTTAGGCAAACTATAATAGATGCTTTATGTATGGCCAAAATATACAAAAAAAATATATAGAATCATGTTTTATTAAGCTTCTGTTTCAAAAGTATCAACATTAATTCCAAAAATTTCATCTGCCTTTTTAATAAAGTATGTTGGCGATGGTGCATATATTGTTATTGGGTTTGAAAGTATTTTTCCTGTTGGCGTTCTCCAATTCTGTCCACAGAAAATATCGATAATAGATAATGATAAATTAAATAAATAATATCAAAAATTTTTTTAAAAAGACAATTTTAGCAAATACCTTAATCACAAGTTTCCTCAAATGTAGATACATAGGTTCTGAAGAAAGTTCTTCGTCTGACATTCTTTTTTCGATTGGTCCATATCTCGGATCACCTAAAATTGGTGCTACAATTCAAACAATTAAAATGTTCTACTATAGTTGTTAGACGAAACCTCGAGGTTTCGCGCTGACGAAATGCGAAACCTAGTTCGTCTTTCGTCAATTAAAATTTTAAATGACGAAATGACGAAAGGTGACGAAACTGATGAAAGGTGACGAAACTGACGAAACTGTAAAAGGTGACAAAACTAATAAAAGACGAATATACAAATAAATGTTGAAAATCATTTATTATTGTATAATACTGTACTATAAAGGTCGGAAGTAGATATTCATTGAATATCCAATATTCGGTTACACAAAATTCATGGATTTGTAATTGAATATATAACTGAATATTTGCGCGTGAATATTCATGGTTACAATAATAGATGGATATCCATTCAAAATCTGGATATTCATTCAATGCTATTCGTAAAC